CCCCCCCCCGCGCAAGGGGGAGCCGGGCCCACCGGCCGCCCAACGCGGCATCCATGATTGCTCGGCCGGCCGGCCGGCCGACCGCGCTCGCCACATCCCCAGGGTGGGAGCGGCCGGTGTGACGCGGCCTCCCCGTCCGGCCAAGACCCATTGCTCCGCACACCAGACCGCACTCGCGGGAGGACCGGCACAGCCGACCACGGCTCCCCCCGCTCGGAGTCGCCCGTGAGGCGGCTCACCAAAGTCTCCCCCCCTCGCCTCGAGAGGCAACCAGCGCCCACAAGAAAAGCACCCCCCCTGACTGGCCGGCCGACCCGGGAAAAGGCCGCCACTCCGATAGCATGATTTTAGAGGGGCCCCCGCATCGGGACGCGCACACAAAGACCCCTGAGAGGCGCAAATCCCGGGCGGCGTCGGGGCTTTTCCCGGGCGCATCCGTCAAGCGTGCTGAGGTGACGTGATATTCCCCGATTCACATGACCCCCGACCTGTCCGAAGACTAATGCCCCATCAAGGTTCGCCGCTGCCGCCGCCGCCGCCGCCGCCGCGAGAACAGCGCCCGCCGCTCCCCGCCCCCGCCCCTCTGTGACTACGAATGCTGGCGCTCCAACGGGCCCTGCCCCCCCATGCCCCCTCGGTGGCTCCCCTCGAGCCCCGCTGTCCACCCGAGAAAACACCCATCCCTCACATCGGTGTCGGGGCAGTTTTTTTCCCCCCCCCATCATTTCACCCCCACACGCCTGAGCTCCCGGAGTCCCGCAGGCCCGCCCCGAAGGTGTAGGCCCGAAGGAGGCAGGAGGCCGCCCGGAACCGCCCCCCTTCGGCGCACGCGCGTCGCCCGCCTTGTCTCCACCCCGATGGACGTCCACACTACCGGCGACCGGGCGAGGGCCCCCCCCCCCCCCCCAGCGAGGAGGGAGGCCCCGGGAAGCGTCCGGCGACGGCGGCCTTTTTGAGCAATCTCCCCCGGCCCCCCCCGGGCCGGCGCCCTGGGCCAGCAACCACCACAGTGTCACACCGCCCCTCCCTCGGAGTTGACCTGTCCCCTTCCCCCTTTCCGCCTCCCTCCCACCCACCCGCCATGTAAGCTCGCCCCCGTCCTCCCCTCCTCCCTCCTTCCCACCCAACCACTTCGCCGCTCCCCCTCGCCCTCCTCCCCTCCTGACCGTCGAGCGCCGCCCC